TTGTAACCTGTCGTGTCTCACGTCACCTACCGAATGTCGACGAACTAGAAGAAGAAGCAGAAGAAGCAGAAGCAGAAGCAGAAGAAGAAGAAGAAGAAGAAGAAGAAGAAGAAGAAGAAGAAGAAGGAGGAGGAGGAGGAGGAGGAGGAGGAAGAGGAGGAGGAGGAGAAGAAGAAGAAGAAGAAGAAGAAGAAGAAGAAGAAGAAGAAGAAGAAGAAGAAGAAGAACGGCGCCTTCGTCGTCGGGGCCTTTGTCATAGCACGAGGGCCTTAGTCGTAGCAGCAGCAGCAGGACAGTCGGGGCCTTCGTTGTAGCAGCAGCGGCAGGACAATCGAGGCCTTCGTTGCACACCTGATGGCGATGGCGACGGGCGACGAGCACAAAGAAGAAGAACGGCTCCTTCGTCGTCGAGGCCTTCGTCATAGCACCGGGGCCTTCATCGTAGCAGCAGCAGCAGGACAGTCGGGGCCTTCGTCGTAGCAGCAGCGGCAGGGCAGTCGGGGCCTTCGTCGGAGCAGCATCATCTGCACACCGGATGGTGATGGCGACGGGCGATGGGCGACGGCGCAGCAGGAGGAGGTCGGCAACTGGGGCGCAGGAGGAGGAGGTCGGCAACTGGGATCGTGCTGGGGGGCGAGTGGCAGACCACCCCAGCCGATCGAAGGTTTGAAGGGGGGAGAGGGAGTTTGGCGCCAAGATCCCACGGCTTTGTGGTCGTCGATCATGGAGGATCGACGTCCACAAAGCTGGCAAAAAATTCACAAACAGAAGCAGGCCTGCCGGGCCCGACGCTGAGGTTTTTTGGGCCGGTTGGACCTGGTAGGCCTGCAGGAGGCCAGCAGCAGCCGAAAGGGATTTCGAAACCCCCCGGCAGGTGACTGCGCTGGGGGGGCTCAGCCCCCAACCGGGTGCCCTGCCCGCCCAGGCCGCCCGGGACCTCCCCCGGGCCACGGCCTGTCACCCGGGCGGCCCAGTTCCCCACTCAGTTTATTTTTATTTATTTTTCAACCTGGTCAGACACATGTTGTGGTAGGGCCCAGTGAGGGCACTAGTGCAGACAATGTCTGCCTAGCTGATGAGTGGACCAGGCAGTGGTGAGGATAGATTTGTAGGAAGAAGGGTGACACGTCAGGAGTCCATTAGGATCCCAATTGTGCACCAAGCTTTACCACTTGAGGGAGAAAGGGCTATGCCACGGGAAGTAGTAGCTGAACGTTTGCAGAGGGCTAGAGAAGCGGCAACAGCAGCCGAGCGATTTTTTGCAGCGGCAACAGCCACTGCAGCAGCTATGGCTACTTCTGCTGCTTCCTCCGGTCAGCAGTCATTTGAGCATGCCAACCAGTTCGCAGTCCACATCCAGCGGGGTGGGACCAAGCAGTTCTTTTTAGTTAGATGGAGGGCTCTCAATACAACTCCCCACCTCCATGCACTGGAGAGGCCATTGAACTCCAGCAAGTGGAGTTGGTCCGCTTACGGTTAGAGAAGGAACTTAAAGAAGTCACCGAAAGAGAAACATAGATTAGAAATAGGAAAGCTAGACCAAAGAGTAGAAGGGCGCACAAAGCTGCTGTAGAAGGGTTAGATGACGCTGTCCTTGATGACACAAGCAGAATCCTCGAGGCGGGTTTACTGTCCATGCATGCTTACAAAGACGCGGGTCTAATGTCCATGCATGCTTACATGGACAGCAAACTGGATGCTATCCAGCATACCCTTGACCAGATATTGAGTGCCATGCAGGGGATGGGAAAAGCTTTCACATCTCCAACAGGCGAGCTCGGTTTCCGGACAATAGCATTTCCAACACCGATGTCTTCACCGGTGATGACAAGTCACACTATGTCTCAGTTTAGCAGTTCACCAAGCGGTACTTCAGCAGCGGCATCACAGACTGCTGCTTCTTCATCTTCAAATCCAGCGGCTGGTGCTACACAACAACCGGGCCCACCACTGGGACAACAACAACCTTGGTACCCTAAGACCCGACTGAAACCACCCTCAACCTTGTCGGGTGATAAGAAGGATGAGGCTCTCGACACTTGGTTGAGAATGGTGCTAGTGTGGGTGAGGGCAAAGAGGACGCTGGTCGAGGAAAAGGTGATCATTGCCGCCTCGTATCTTGAGGGATCAGCAGCGCGATGGCTAGATGGATTGGTAGCCTCGAAAGAGTTCGGCAGAAGAATGAACGATTGGGCTAAGACCCATACTTTAGAGAGCTTCATGGAGTTGGTAGAAATGCGATGGTACAACCCTCAGCAGGCCCAGCAGGCCACTGACGTGTTGACCCAGCTTGATACTAAAAAGTTCAAGGTCCGTGAATGAACTTACCTCTGTTGTGGAGTGTCTCATTGTCGTCCCCGACATACGTTACGATCCGCAGGTCTTAACGACCATGTTCTTACGATGTCTTCCCACAAACGTCAAGAACTTACTAGTCAGCGAGGACAACATTGAATATCACACTATGGACTCCTTTAGCAAGAAAGCCTTAGAGGCTAGGCTAGGAGGATCCCAACAACCCTCGATGGATGGGAGAAAGAAAAAGAGTCCACAAGAGTGTAAGAAAAATGGTAGTTGATTGATGATGGTTGATTCTGATGGGAATCAAACCGACATCGACGATGTTTCGGACCTCTTCTTTAGTAAAGGTTAAGGCAACTGGCCGCGACAAGGGCGGTCAACAAAAGAGTCAGGGGCAGACCCAAAACTCAAACAAGATTCCAGCTTGGGCGAGGGCGGGTCTGGATCAAGATGTGTGGCAAGATCGTTCATTGCAAGGAGCTTGCATAAACTGCGGTGAGTACGGCCGTCAATAGTTTAGGTGCAAGAACGTGAAGGTGTTGCAGAAGATACCTCCCCAAGGTGGGGCTTCTACGAGCTCCAGTTCGGGAAACACATCAGGCCGGTAGAAGTTGTAGCTGCTTCTACTCCTGATGAAGCGGGCGATGTACCCTCCCCACTTCAAGAGTTGGCCGAAGCTAGTAACTCTTTCGTCACCCCGCAAATGCATCCTGACCCAACGATACTCTGTTCGTTGGAAGTGTCTGAGGCCTTCGTGAGTGGTCAGCAAGAGACCCAGTGAGTAGTGGTCCTAGAGGGGAGCATTTCGTAGTGGAAGTTGGTGTAGGTGGCTGGAAGTGTGGTGCCTTTGTAGACATCGGCTCCATGTGGAACTTCATAAGTCGCGACTGCACTGAGAGACTGCGCCTAAAGGATCGGGTGCAACGCCTGAGTAGGCCAGTAACATCTACTTTGGCCAACAAAGAGCGCATGTTGGTAGAGGACTACATCAAGGACGTGGACTGCACCTTCTCTTATGGAGGTGGGGAACTTAATCATAAGATTTTGTTCCTAGTCATCGACGACTTGCTGTTTGATATGTTGTTAGGTATGTACTACCTCGAGGTTGCAAAGACCAGTTTGACTGGGATCCAAAGGTGCTCAAGCATGTACTATTGGAAGGGAGGCTAGTCAAACTTGCGAAGTATAAGGCCGCACTCTTCCCCCGAACAAAACGCATGTGCGTTGTATATGAATACAACGCACGAGGTGTGTTGTATTCGTATACAACGCACGTGCGTTATGCTACGGGTTTTGGGCACCAACTTCAGAAAACGGGCTTTCAAAAAAAATCCGGTATATGCCCTTGTAACCACAAGACTGTCCTCGGGGCATCCGTCATAGTTGGAGCGACACACATAAATCAAGAAATGGTCCTCATTAAAAAAAAAAAAAGTCTCAAGAATGAATCTTTCCCTTGAAAACGGAAGTATACATCCTGCATGTGTCGAGGGGTGGAACGAGGCCCGATAGTAAGTAGACAAGAAGACCTGCACGTCAAACGGGGATAGGGAAGCCACACACACACACACACACACACACACACACACACACACACACACACACACACAGAGAGGAGTTCGGCCTGTCGTTTCTGGGAACACGTGGTGATCCCATTTTCGGGCCGCAATACTTTGAGTTGTCTTCGGTCAGTCGCTTCTTGGAGCGCGCGGTAATCCCGTTTTCTACGGCGATTGCGGTCAGACACGGGAAGAGTCAGGGGAGGTGTGTGTGTGTGTGTGTGTGTGTGTGTGTGTGTGTGTGTGTGTGTGTGTGTGTGTGTGTGTGTGAGAGAGAGAGAGAGAGAGAGCGAGAGAGAGTTGTGTACTATTCGAATAGTTCACACGTGCCTACTATTTGAACGTGCGAACTATTCGGACTTTCGGGAGCTACTTCGACAAATCGAGTTTTCCAGGGAAAGTTGAATAGTACATACGTGTGTTTTGTTCAGGGGGAAGACTGTAGCAGTCTGATAGACACTTACGGTTGTATGTGTGCATCAACATTCTACAACTATTATAAACAAAACCAAGAGGAGGGTATGTACTTAGTGTTCGTCTTTGAGAATGGGGACGCCGTTAAATCACCCCCAGAGATAGAATCCATCGTCGCTAAGTACCCCGATATGTTTGAGGAGCCTTCAGGAGCCGTGGAGAGGGAGGTTGTCCATGCCATAGAGATAATTCCAAGGAGCAAGATACTCCAATAACGAATCTATAGGATGGCACCAACCGAGTTAGATGAACTTCGGCGACAATTGAAAGAGCTTATGGAAAAGGGTTCGATATAACCTAGCACCTCCCCCTTCGGCTCACCAGTCTTATTTGTCTCGCTCACCAGTCTTATTTGTCTCGAAAAAGGGGGGGCCACTGAGGATGTGCATTGATTATGGAGACCTCAATGCCATCACTGTTAAGAACGCAGAGCCTCTATTGCGCATCGACGACCTTTTGGATAGGGTGCAGGGGTGTAAGTACTTCACCAAGATAGACTTAAAATCCGGCTACCATCAGATTGCCATTAGACCAGAGGACCAACACAAAACTGCTTTTCAGACCAGGTACGGTGTGTACGAATTTGTGGTGATGCCCTTTGGCCTTTGGAATGTGTTGGGTACATTCCAACACGCCATGAACATGATATTTCATAACTACTTGGATAAGTTTATCGTCGTGTACCTCGACGACATTCTTATCTTCAATAGAACTGTTGAGGAGTATGCTCAACATGTAGAAAAAGTACTTTCATTCCTACGACAACACAAGTATGAGATAAATTTAGAGAAATGAGAGTTCGGTCACACTGAAATCTTGTACTTGGGTTATGAGATATCCGCGGAAGGTATAAGGCCCGAAGATGCTAAGGTGGCTAGCATTCGTGACTGGCCATGACCTCAGTCTATAACTGAGGTCAAGCCTTTCTTATGGATGACGGGCCACTATCGCAACTTCGTGAAGAATTAGTACGGTGGCCACCCCTTTGACTGATCTTACACGCCTTGACACCCCATGGGAATGGACAGACAAATGCGAGGCTGCTTTCATAAGACTGAAGCATGCCCTCATGCATCATGAGGTTTTCATGGTCCCCGATCCTCAGAGGCCATTCGTTGTGACCACTGACGCCAACCAATATGGCATTGGCATAGTGCTGGCTCAACAGGAAGGGACAAAGTTGAGGCCGATTGAGTACATGAGTAAGAAGATGCCATCAAAGAAATTGGTGAAGTCCACCTACGAAAGGGAACTCAACGCCCTCTACAAACCACTTGTCCACCGGAGACATTATCTGTTGGGAAGGTTCTTTTATTTGAGAACTGACCATCAAACACTAAAGTGGATCAAGACACAACATGTTCTCTCTGATACACACTGGATTGAAGTCATTGATCAATATGACTTTAAGCTAGACTATGTGAAGGGAGAATACAACAAGGTTGCTGATGCACTGCCACGTAGGCCAGACTACCTGGGTGCGCTAATAACTGAGTTTGGCTTATCTGATGATGTAACTTGGACCCTGTCACGATGGACATCATGCGCAAACTTGAGACCCAAGACAAGGCCACATCTGATGAGTTTGTGATGGTGGATGGGTTACTCTTTCTTGAAAAGGCAGGGTTCAAAAGATTAGTTGTTCCATCTAGCGAAATTTTGCGTAGTTTATTTTTGGGCGAATGCCACGACATGACTGGACACTCCGGCTACAAGAAGACTAGTGTTAATTTAGTACAACATTTTTGGTGGCCTGGTATGCTCGACGAAGCAAAGTAGTACATACAGACTTGTCAAGTCTGCCAGCAGGGAAGCCGCAAACTCAAATTCTGCTTGGGTTACTGCCCTTGCCCAATCCTACCGGTCCTATACAAAGTGTATCCATGGACTTCACGGACATACTCGTGACCAGCAAGAGTGGCAAGAGGCACATCTTCGTCATAGTTGGCAGGTTTACTAAGCACGCTAGACTAACTGCCATGCCAGAAACAGTGAAGAGTCAAAGACGGATCATGTCATCACGTTATTTATGGATAACTAGGTGTGTGATTTCAGACTGCCCAAGTCCATCGTTGGTGATAGAGATGTCCTCTTCACCAGCGAGATGTGGAAGAAGGCTGCTGAACAGATGGGCAGCCCAACTCCAAATGACTTTGGGGAATCATCACGAAGCCAACAGTCAAGCTGAACAGATGAGCCGTGTGGTGCAGCATCTGCTGAGGCATTACATTGAGCCCAGCCAGGATGACTGGGATGAGAAGTTGCCTCTCATCGCCAGTCTGTACAACAACGTTGTACACAGCACCACCGGCGTCAGTCCGAATCAGCTGCATTTGGGGTGGAAGCCTAGATCTGCTCTAGACTTCCTTCTACCTGAAAACCGATCTGTTGCAACTCCTGGAACCTTAGAATATGGTGTCCAGTATGAGAAGTTGTTGCAGCAGGCTGTCGAGCACATTACGAAATCCCAAGAAGCAATGATTGCTTCTAAGAACAAACATCAACAACAGTCCTGTTGTCCACATTTCAGGTAGGGGTACGTGTCTGGGTCAAGGCTAGTAAGCTAGGACAGAAATTCGGCATCTCTAGGAAACTAATGCCTCAGTACTTTGGTCCTTGGGAAGTCTTGGATATCGTGGGTGGTGAGTTGGACAGTCCCTCATACGTTATTCGAATCCCTGGTCACTTCCGTACTTACCCTGTGTTTCGCGCCTCCAAGCTTGCACCTTTTACTGAGACACAGCAGTTCCCATCAAGGAGATCAATGATGCCCCCAACCATGGATGGCCACGTGGACATCGACGACATTTTGGAGCACAAAGATATGCCTGTTCCCAAGCCTGTGGGTAGAGGAAGACCGCCGGAACCCAAGAGGGAGTTCCGGGTCAGATTCAGGCATCACACAGATCCAAAAGAAGACCGATTGTTCACAAGAGAGGAACTGGTTAAGACAGCACCTCAAATCGTGGCAGACTATGAAAGAAGGTTAAAGGGAAAGGCCCCTGCTTAAGAAGCATCTCAGCAGACTTTCGAAGCTAAGGGGGATGGAATGTGAGGAATGTGCCCTCACGGTGCCCTAGCCAACATGCACATGATGTGGGCTGTGGTCCCAGCAAGCATCGTGCCCGCCCTAAGTGAAGGCGGGCCTGAATATCCGCGAGCGGCCCTTATCTCAGCATTTTCCAATGTGGGTATCAGACGGTTGCAGCATGCCAGTTGGTTGTGCCCTTCTAGAGACAGCAGCTGCATCGAGCAGTTGAGCCCGGGGTAGAGTGGTTGTGCCCTGGGCACACGCAGTGTGAGGTCGATACATCACAAAGTGGCCATGGGCGAATCAGAATGCAGCATTGTCGTCACAGAGGCCCAGCGATCCAATGAGAAGACGACAAACACTTGGAGCCTGGAGGCTTCTGGGACGTGCCCAACCAAAAACGGCCCAGGCCCCCAACTGTCGGAGAGGGCCTGGACGCAGACACTGGAGCCCGACTGGAAGCTACTGGGAGCCTCCTCAGCCAGGCCCATGCAGCCAAACAGGGCTGTGAATTCCATATAGGAAGGTCGTTGGCCAGGCTGAAGGTATGCTGGCGTAGGCAGGCAATGCGGACACGCTGCTGCAATGCTGCGCAAGTGTCTGCATGTGCACTGCTGGCTGGGGCGCACGCAGGCGCTATGAGGTGAGAGGGTGCTGCAGGGCAGCGGGTGCACGGCGGCCATAGCCAGGCTGATGGACGAAGGTGGTCTTTGGGAAGGAGGCGCATGAGTGGGTGGTCAAGGTCTGATGATGGGAGAGGAGAGAGAGCGTACCTGGTGTATGTGGGAGGTCGGCATTGGTGTTGACGTCATGTACATTGGTCTTCAACGTCTGAAGTGATCCTGTTGCACAAATGTAGATAGACTAGATAGGCTTAGTAGAGTAGGCTGGGCGCTGGGCACCAGACAGAGATAAGCGACATTGGATATTGTGTTGGTGGGGCCTTAGGGCGATAACATTGGCACACAAGTTCACTGTTTTGCTCTTTATTTGGAAGGAATCTTGGTGCATTTGAGCTCTCTGCTTGGTACATGACTATCTGGACTTCTGCATGATTTTGCAACCTGTATTTCTGTCTATTGCTCTCGCTCACATTCCTTGTACATATCCGAATCTGAAAAAAAAAAACCCTCAGATGTTGATGATGTGGGCACCCTATTTCTCCACTGAGCAATATGTTATCATACCCTATCTTGTCCTTCGTCAGGACATCCATTAACATCGGAACGATACAGACAAAGAAGATTAGCATCACCCCTGTGCAAGGGGACCACATATAAATAGAGAAATGGTCCAGAAAAACCAGAAATCTAAAAATATTAAATAATAAAAAAGTAAAATAAAATGATACCCTATTGTCATCTCAAGCACCCTGGCTGTCCTCTGAGCATGCATGCTTGGATTGGATCCGTTGGAAATTGTTTGACCCTAAACGGATTCTCTAGTGTTTTTCCATAACCAACTCTCTCGGTTTAAACCAAAAAAAAAAAAAAAAAAAAAAGTTAAAAAAACACGGATTCTGTAGTGTTTTTTCCATAATCAACTCTCTAAGCAAAAAACAACAACAACAACAACAACAACAACAACAACTCTGGATTCTGGAACTGTGTTTTTTTCAACCGTTTTCCTTATTGTGAAAGTGCCATACAACAACAACCAAAAACATCCATGACATGAAGATCTGAATTCATTCCCGAGAGAGAAAAACAAGGTTCTGCTGTCCAAATGATTTGCATTGTTCACACGGCATATAATGCTCAACAACTTAATGCTCTAAAACACAAACAAGTTGTTGATGAGTGCATCAAAGGAACACAAAAAAAGAAAAAAGAAAAAAAGAAAAAGTTCAAAAAAGAAAAAAAAGAAAAAAGAAAAAAGGAAAACGGACCACTTGCCTGTGGCATAACGTAGCAGGACCAACACAAAAACAGGACAAAAACTTAGATGCAAAAAACAAGACAAAGAAAAAATCACCTTTAGCATGGCCCATTAGCTACTTAGATGTGAACTTCTCAAAGGCTATGAATGTGGGTTACTTCCCCCCCCCCCC